AACCGGTCATTCAAAAACCACCGAAACAAATGATCTCCAAATTGACGGTTGACGGAAGGATAAACAGACCTTCAAAATAAGGTGTCACTCGACCACCCATTTCAATAAAAAAATAAAGGAAAATGACGTAAGACCGTTACTTTGACATTTTCAGCAGTCATTTTTGCGCCAAAAGATGGACAATTTGACCATATGTAGGGGTCCTAAAAAAAGAAAAATTACGATATTTGCTGCAAACTACGAAAAATTTTTATATCAAAAAACTTTTCTTCGGCAATTTTTTGATGAAAAGTCAAAGCGGCAATGATGTTTTTTGACATCAACAGATAGTTACAGGTTATTATTGACAAGGATAGCCCTTGTCAATAATAACAATAATTTGTCAAACTGTGACTTACTTCAAAGGTCCTTTTACTGCCACAAATGCCACAATAAGATAGCAGAAGCTGAAAGAACTCACGCTAACAAAGGGCGAGGGAATTCATTCCAGGAAGATAGTGGATGACAATCAATTTTCGGGTTCCATGCACAGAGGAACAAGTATTGGACATAATCGAATCAGGCCCTTCCAGGGGTACTCAGAGCACAATAACTGACACTTTCCCAAGCACCAAATAAATACCGAGAAAGGGCTACATTCCTACCACCTTTGTACGATACACACAGTACAAGAACATATTAAACCAACAGCTTACTGAACAGCGATACAAATGGAGCAGGAGTTAATTAACTGAATACGAGAAGCTGCTTGATAAGAGTGGATTGATAATAAGGAGTTTACACAGGCGCTAGCTTTTTTGGAGTTAACCATTCAAATGTTTGGTTGTGTATGGTTTATTTGTAAACACCAATCCGAGGTTGACATTTTGAAAGTACGTTCCCGAGTCAACGAATCCTGTTGAATTTACCGTTTTTCCCTGTCTATTTTATTATCACTTTTTGTATAATTCCATGGTTACCGGAGTTTTAACAATAACCAAGCAACAGGTATTTACGCAATGTTAATTAGGCAGATTACCTTGGAAAACATTGTTGCCTGTTTTTTAATAAA